AGAAACTAACAATTTAAATCAAGTAAATATGAATGCTTGCAAAGTATCTTATGAATATAGATCATCTGATCAATTTTCATTAAAGTATTTCAATATTTCGTAATTTTTAAACAAAAGTGTAATATCAAGCAAGAATATTGTGAATATGTTGAAAATTGTAAATTTTATTAATTAACAATTTTTTCATCTTTCGCCAATATGGCTGCCTTGGATGAAGTAGGTTATAGCTGGCGTTGACGTCGAACAAAACGAAGTAGGAATTTTTTTTGTTCTTCATCCTTTGTAATCGAGTTGTTGTACTGTCCAATTATTGCAATTCCACGTTCCACGCTATGATTAACAACTTTCATTCTTTGGACTCTCTCTGCCAACTTCTGATATGATTTATTGTCTTCCCAATATTTAGGATCTTTTGAAATGAAGTTTTTGGCTCCTTATCTATCTGTACTGCTCAACAATTCAAATAAACTATAGGTTCTCATAGTAACAAATGTCTCTAGTCTGTTGAAACCGGTATTCTTGGAATCTACTCTCTTTAGTTGTTTTGGGCAGTTGGAGGTTAACTACCATGGCCCTCCTCACATCCAGATCAACCCGACTATCAAAAAAATGCCAGAACTATAAGATGTTCTGAGAAGAACCAAAGATGTCGAGAAAATGCAGTAAAAGCTGTAACGGCAATTGTGCGGTTTGGCATTTGAGCATCATTAAATAGAGCATTTGCAGCCAGCGGAGCTTCGTGCCAAAAACGTTCATAAACTAATGCTACAAACAATGCAAACTCTACTAGATCTTTTTTCTCTTGAACAGTCAGAGTAAGCTGATTTTGAAATGGTACCATTTTCAGATCATAGATGGCCTTTGATATCCATTGAGCATGATGCATCTCAGCGCCAACAGAGCCTCACCCAAGGAAGACCAGACATAACCAAAGTAGTTCAAGATAACCCTCCCTAGGTTGTTTTTCGTCGATGGCTTTGGTGTAGAATGCTACCATTTCCTTTCGAAGGACTTCCATATCTCTAATAAAGAGCTCGTCTTTAGCTGGAGAGAATCTCACTTGATGAATAAATGGCCACTTCTTTTGAAAATTTTTGAACAAACCACCCTCAGGTCCCCCTGTTACACCAAAGAGAACATTGATCAGAACAACCTCCAGAACATGGTGGCGGCAACCAATACTTACAAGCTCACAACCCACTGCTTCCTCGATTAGAACACATGCTCCTTTGTGAATACCTATGTTGGATGATGTTGTATCAAAGACTAAACCCTAAAGTTTGTCTCGAATTTTCCAATCATCCAAGATGCAAGCTGCTGCTTGTTCCACTCATGTTCCACTTCAAATAATTTCCAGTTACAATCACTGTAACGCGATCCACAGTTTCTTTTGAACCAGTTATATCTGGAAGCAGTTTCCCATCCCAGTGTAGAAGCAACGGAAGTTCAATGGAGAAGTTGTCTTTGTCATTCTGAGTAATGTGATTACGAGTAGACATTCGAGATCTCCTGATTGTACTTCAAGACAGACTTAAGCCACTGAAGCAAGAACAAACATAGCTTTGCAATCTGGAAGGTTAACTCTGTCCAAAGCTCCATCATCTATTGGGCTTGACAATATTTTTGAGACGCTTTGGCTTTGGTGTAGAAGAAACAGATTGCAATGCAGAAGACAGAATCTCAAAACTCAGGTTATCATTGCTGTCTTGACTGTCTTCTGAGTTGCTGATGTTGGCTGAGACAGGATCATTTGAGTGTTTCTGTTTTGATAACCTTGCATAAAATGCTTAATATCGAGCTCTTTTTCTGGCTTCCTTTGCCAGTAGGTTCATATCAACTCCGGCCATGCTGCAGCTGGTAATATCTTCTCGCTGAATTGCAAGAAATTGCCTATCTTCAGCAATGGTTTTTGTCTCCATTGCGGCTTTAGTTGCCAAGTCATAAAACTCATAAAGTGTGTCCTTGAACATCTGTTCTTTAATTTTACAGCTTTCTAGGTCTGTAGCTCGATTCTTTTTTAGAAGCTAATAGATATCGTATAATTTCTGAAGTTTCACTTTTTTGTGTTGGGATTCTTGCCTTATTCCACACAACAATCAGCTCTTGAATTGTATGATGAATGCTCTCCTTTATTGTGAGGTTTTCTTCCAGATGATGAACGTGGAGACACCGGAGGACATTTCCATTTGTTGCCAATCTTGATGATGAGAATTGCTTAGATGCTTTTCCAATGAGCCATACCTCTGCAGAGCTTCTTGTAGTAACTGCCATAAGTGGCGATGAATCTGTTGATATAATAATATTAAGTATAAGAAAATAAAAATATTTGTTATCAGAAACAAAAAAAATAATAGTTATAACTTGTTTATTGAAATATTGCAGACATGTGCCAATTACAAATTGGGCACCAAATTATTGACAACTAAAATATATTAGATATATAAGTGAATTTATGTAGCATCTGCTTTTCAGCAAGCATTAATTTACTTACCAATGTTGAGATGTTCAATTATGAAAAAATTACACAAAAATTTGTGTAAATTCTTAAAAATTTAGTATTGTCAAAAAAATGATGAAATAATTGCGACCACCAAAACTGTTCAGATTGGTCCAATTTTTCGTATGGTTATTCTCTAAGCATAATTGAAAAAATTAGTCTTGTGGAGAAAATGTAGACATATTTTGAATTTTTACCACACAAATCTGGACCACCCTAGTTCAACATTCTTATGCCAATACAACGTCAACTTCTTTGTTTGGCTAAGTAATGCAAAGTGCTGTTGTTCCAATTGTACATCAAGATGCACTAAGCAACGCAAAATGCGGTTGAACAATTCACACTGCTTGATAGTTAATATCTTATTTTAAAAAGATAAAAAGCATTTTGCATTTTGAAAATTTATTAGGTACCGGTGTTCGTTAAAACCGGTATTTGGTAGATATCGGTATTTCAGTATCAAAAATATTTTTTATTGTAATACTTGTATATTACAATTATATTTGAAATATTTATATATTAAATACTATAGTAACTTTAAAATATTACTTTATTGATGATAATAAAATTATTATAAACCAAAATTTCTTGTTTTTTTTTGAAAAACCCTTTTTTTTGCAAATGTTTTCAAAGATTTATTGAAAGTAAAAAACGAAATAAAAATATTGTGTCTAAGCTTATATAGATATTGTGCCTAAGCTTATAAAAAGTTTGAAACTAAGGATTACATTAAGGTTACACTTTGAGAAAACGTTTTGGTATAAGAAAAAATGTGATACATAATAAACAGAAAACTCTTTCTAAACTCGCATTTTTTATATAACAAAACGTTTTGGGTAATTGTGGTGCAAAACAACCAAAGATCTAATAAAAAGGTGATTCCGAGAGAAATTTTATTTTGTAGTCGTTATTATCGTTATATATGTTATTTAGAATATATAAGAACGATTTATGCCAAATGAAGATTAAAAATTATACGTTGTTAAATTAAATACATAAAGTGACATCTGAAAGAAATAATAATAACGTGTACACTCAGACTTACACTTAGCTATGATGTGCACGAAATCTTATGTACAGTAATAAGTGTGTGTAAATGATAAATATACAACTTTTTGTTTTAAAAATCATTTCCGTATTTGCATTGTTCAAGCAGATGCTCAATTATTTGAGTAACTTTAAAATAAATTATATGATGTTTGCCGCTGATTGCTCATGTAATAACCTCATAACTTAATCATATACAGGTATTTGCTTAATTGTGTAGAAACAGGTTATGCCAATAAAAATTTATCTATAAATGATGGTATGTATGTATTTAAAAATCAAGCTTGTTCATCAACATGTCGTTATTTACAGTTCATATTTTTCTTACTCTTTTTGCTCTATCGGCTGGAGGGGGAAAGCAAAGGGAAAGTAAGTTTACTTATCGCAATTAAGTCTTTAAATTTGTTTTTAATTACTCTAACTGTTTTAAAGATTAACAAGAACTAATTATAAAAAATATTCGAATTGCAATTATAACAAAAACTAAAATTTTAGCACCTGGTTTATACCAAGGAGATATACAATTGACACCTGAACAATGGGAAAGTTTACAGAGTAACAACAGTCCGTTTGGCTCAATAAAAAATAGACGATGGCCAAACGCAAAAATTCCTTATACTTTTGAAAGTTCTATAGGTGAGAAACTTTATTGTTGCTGTTGTTTTATAAAGTAATCATCTTGTTCATTAAAATAAAAACGCGGCAGTGATACCAATAAAAAAGCGGCAGTGATTCAAATAAAATGCGGCAGTCGTACAGTAGTTAGAGCACTGACAGACCACATAATTAAATGATCAAATATTTTATGTTTGAAAATGATTTTTTTTACCTCTCATTGTTTTTGACTTCTTTTAGTTTACAAAGAAACCAAAGAGAGTTTGAAAACTCATATGAGAACTTTAGATTGAAAACTCATATAAGAACTTTAGATTGAAAACTCATATGAGAACTTTAGATTGAAAACTCATATGAGAACTTTATATTGAAAAAAAATTTATAAATACCTTTTGTAAGTTTTTTTTATAGATTAAGTGTTATCATTTTTACTACATAATGTAAAATAATTGAAGAATAATAAAAAACCTATCCTTTAAAAAGAATATTTGCAATATAAAATATTAATTCAGTTATAAAAAATTTTTTTTTTTTCTTCATGATTTTTTACAACTTTATAACTTTTACAACTTTTACAACTTTATATACTGTTACAATTCCTTCTCTTGACATAATATATAGTCATAGAGAAAACAAAAATAAATGTATACATATATAAATCATTAAAAATTGTCAAACACACTGTGTTAAATACAAAGTATATGTTTTTTATAAATTGTATGATAAAGAATTTGATAAAATAATTTGGTGAAATAATTGTGATGTTGTAGGGAAACTCGCAGAAGACTTAATGAAGTTTTGTCATCGAGAACCTTTGAGACATAAAATAAGTAAAAAATTAAAAAGCAAAAGGAAATAAAATTTTCTTTAAAATCAATCAATCAAAACTAAACAATTTGATTAAATATTTTTTGGATTTCAGATTTGGAACAAAATCTCTGTGCTCTATTCTCGCTCTAATAAAACCATCACGTCTCTGAAAACCACAAAAATATTAAGTAATAAATTATTAATTAAATTATAAAATATGAATATTAATATAAATAGGTTACGAAATACATTTTTTTTTTTAAACAAAATGACTTTTTATTCGCTAACATTTCTTATTGTTACATCACTTGCCATAATAGAGTCTAGAATTTTTAAAAACCAGTTTATGGCAATTCCACATGCCTCGATATTTTACTTTTATTGAAGAAATACAGTTTTATAAAAGCTATGGGTAATTTTTTAATTTACATTATTTAGATTTTAAAAAATATATTTTTATTATATTATATTTTCTCGTAAATGAAGTTACAAGTAAAATACACTATATAAAAATTACTTTATAAAATTACGAACAGTAAAACAACCGACATCATTACCCGACATCATTTTTTTCTAATGGAAAAGTTTGGATGGTTATGTCTGACCGTAAATGGGGATTAAGACGATAATTGTTAAAAAAAACCCATCTTGTGCACTTTTGACCAGACTAGAACGTTGTACCTTTGACCTATCTAACTAAAGCATCTAACTAAAGAAAATATGCGATTTTATCTAAATAGTTATAATAACTGATTTTATTTTAAAAAATTAGTAATACTGTTAGAAATACTGACTGAGTATCGTAACTTTGATACACAAGTCTTTGCAAGATTGTAAGGATTGATTTTCCAATTTTTTTAGACAATTAGGATTGATTACAAAATAATAAGATTTGTTTTTTTATTCATATAAGGTAGGCCAGAAGTTGCTATATAACATATAACAAGCTAAAATATTAAAGAGGTTTAAACATTGCATTTTTTAATAATAACGTTTGGTCAAAGGAACAACGCGCATTGGTCAAAGGTTCAACATATGTGTTGTACCTTTGACCAATAGACTTTTTTTTTTAAACGCGGGAAAAAGATACTTCTTGGACAAATGAAAAAAAAAGTCCTAAGTATAATTTTTGAGCAAAATATGAAAGAATATTATACAGTTTGAATGGTTTAAGTTTCTCAATAGACTACGCAAAAAACGCCTTGATGCACAAAGTGGTCAAAGGGACGACAGGTTCCCCTATTGCAAAAATAAGAGCGTCACGGCGTCGTTTTGAGGCGCGTATTATGAGTTTTACAAGTAAAAGTATAAATAAAAATTACTTTTTATAATACAATTATTGCAATATTATAATAAAGTTTACTTTTTATTTTTAAAATGTAAATACCGATAACTTTTGTTTTCTTGATTAAAAACGCGTGGCAGAGAATTGATTGGATTTACCGTTTTCCTTCGTTGGACGTTTTACATACATATACCCCTGGTGTGTTGAAATAGCAATAAAAATGGGGCATTATATTGTGATTAACTTAAGCATGCAAAGTAATATAATTGAACGCTGTATTTCAAAAACGAGACGAGTCACACTTTTTTTAAAAGTGAAGTAATTTGAAAAAAATATTTTTTTTAGCTAAAGTTGATGCTTCAAATAAAAAAAAAAATTTTGAGATGTAAAATGTAAATTTTCATACAGGAGAAACTTTTTTCTCCTGTAAAATTTTAATTTTGTGACTCGTCACATTTTCAAAATACAGTGTTCAATTATTGAAAAAAAAAATACCTTATCTAAGGTTATGCTGGGGAATTCTGTGAGATTCTATGATTTTTCCAATTTAGACGTTTAAGGACATAACATGTATAGCAAAAATTGCCTACATTCTTTTTTAAAAATAGAAGATATTTCAATTACTCTTCTTAGAAATAAAGTAAACCTATTAATTAGGCTAATGATAAATCAAACTTGCTATTCGCTAATATTTAGTCAATTACTGGCAACACATAATAAAAAATCATTTATAAATGAAATGATTGCTATATGTAAAGCTCGTGGTTTGAACATCTTTCAATGCAAGATTAAAAAAATTAAATTCACACTACCTCAAGAAGAACTGCAAGATTTTACCAGATAATTACTCTGAAAATAAAAACACCAAAATAATTTTCTCATGCTTTTGAATTCATTTGGCCTCATAAGTGAGGGTGTTGAACTCTAAAAAAGTATTACTTGAAGTTTAAAATGTGCAGATAAATTTCCTGAAACTGTTATATGTAAAACATCAAAATATTCTGTGGGTGCACACAGGTTTGTCCAAATATATTATAATTACACAAAATATTAATAAAACAACAACATGTTTTTATGGGAAATAAAATTTTCTTTAAAATCAATCAATCAAAACTAAACAATTTGATTAAATCTTTTTTGGATTTCAGATTTGGAACAAAATCTCTGTGCTCTATTCTCGCTCTAATAAAACCATCACGTCTCTGAAAACCACAAACAGCAGCTGCTGCTTTAGTCACTTGTTTAAAAACTCTTTCCCAAGACTGGGTGTGGAGAGGATAGTAAGGTACTTCCATAGGAGAATCTATTACATTTTGTAAATCTTTTTTTGTCATACTACATGTAAAATTTGACTCTAAGATTTGTTCATTACTCCAGTCAATGAGTTCAAGGAAAGTCATAGCATCAAAGTTAAGTGAAGGTTTTTTTCGGTTTCTTACACTTACATTACCTTGCCCTAAATCTCCCCTAACTTTCATAATCATCTTGACTGCAAAAGCTCTATTTTCAATTGATGAGCTTGCAAGAAGAGAAATAAGAAGAAACTCAGAATGAGCATGAAATGCCCCATTTTGAACAGACTAACGGCATTAATAACTTCGACAGTTTGGATTCTTAATAGATAAAGAAGTTGGATTAGATGATGATGCCCATCGACAATAGAGTGCTTTACCTTGATTCTAAACCACATATGAAAGTATATATGCGGTAAACTGCAGTCAATGCGGTAGTGGTGTAGTGGTAAAACACTCGCTTCATAAGCGAGAGGTTCCGAGTTCAATCTCCACCACGTCCCTGGTAGTACCGCACTCAACTTGTTTCGTAAAAGTGCATTTTTTAGCCCTTTTTTACATTTTTCAAGTTAATTTTTACACACACACAAAAAAAAAAAAATTTTTTTTTTTTTTGAATATTGCTTAGCTTACCCCAACCCATAATAAAATCACTCCCTAAATGTAATTTTTAAAATTTTTTTAGTATGACGTGCCCTAATGTGCAACAGTTTTTACGAAATGGTCAAATATACCCAGTAAAGCATGAAGAACCTATAAAAATATCGTAATTTCTAAATGTAATAATTTTCAATACCAAGTATGTTCACATATTAGGCACTACTGCAGTTTCTCCCTCTCTTTTTTTTATTGCTGATTATGATAGAAAATTTTATGCTGATTAAGAATCGTATAAAAACATAGGTCTGAAAATCAACAGAAAGTGCTCAAATTCGATGTTGAAGTTTAAAAAATTACACTAAAATATGATAATATTCGCCATTTTTTCATGGTTTTTTTAAAATCATTATTGTAAAGGAGTGTAATTATAACCGAGAATGAAAAAATGGCGAATATTAGCGTTTTTTAGTGTAATTTTTTAAACTTCAAACATCAAATAAGAGCACTTTATGATGATTTTTAGACCTATGTTTTTATACGATTCTTAATCAGCATAAAACTCCCTATCATAATCAGCAATAAAAAAAAGAGGGGGAGAAACTGCAGTAGCGCCCACATATTAAAAATATAGAATAATATGAACACTATTACAAGATACCAATTTACTTGAATTGGCTTTACATCACAAATTGGAATTGGTTTGATGGTGTGTCCAGCCCTTGTCACAAAACTATTCTTCAAAGCTATATTCTCCAATATCCTTTGCATCGTCAGTTTAATACTATTAAAATTTTTTATCAGTTTAATACTATTAATAATATTAATAATAGTCTGAAATAGGCTATTTCAGACTATTATTAATATTATTAATAGTATTAAAAACAAGAAGAAAAGTTCAAGATAACTCATAATAATTTGTGTTACTTCAGATTGCTGAGATGTTTCCAACTAGGCAATATATTAAAACCAGGAAAAAAATTTTTTTTAGTTTTTATATGAATGTTTACCAAGAACACAAACTGTTTAAATTGACATTGTTTCTATTGGAAATTTGTTGAAAGAGTTATTTTTTAATATATTCTTCAAGCAAGGTTTCCTTACCAGTCTTGAAATATGCTAGCATAGCCTTTTTCTTTTAAGTTAATTTTTCTTCAGATCCAGATCTTTACCAGCTATTCTAAACTATTGTTTTTTGTGCAAATGTCAATTCATCGAAGCCAGGTGTCATAGCAACTGCCAGTACACAACCTATTATATTTGCAGAAATATTTTTCTGCTGTTTATTTTCCTCAGCAATGAAAATTTTAAATAGTTCAAATTCAATGAGCGTCATTGTTATTAAACTAAAGATATAAATATTTTTGTTGATTTATTTGTCTAATACCTAATTAAAAAAAATACTTTAAACTTAAAATAATATAATTCAAATAATAAACAATTTTACGTAAAAAGTAAAAATATTATATTACTATATACACCACAAAACCCTCAGTTTTAATTTTAACTCTTGCAATTTATTCATTTCAATGCTGCTATATTTTATCATTAATTGGGTCGAAAAAAAGTTCAATAGAAAAGAGGGCCTGGGATGAGGGAGGGGTGTAGGTTTTGGTCAATTATTGGTCTTGAGAGTTGCAAAAAAACGTGTTTTTTTCCTTTAGCGTTTTATTGGGTCAATAAAACGTGTTTTTTTGTTGTTGTTTTTTGGCGTTTTTTTGTTGTTTTTTTGTTGTTTTTTTTTTTGTTTTTTTTGGTGTTGTATTGCTTTTTTAGCAATTGTTTATTTTTTTTTGGCATAAGTTTTGAAATAGTTTTCCTTTATTCTAGTATAATTTTAGTATTTGATCATTAAAGGCACAATCAGATGTATAAACATCAATTTTACATAATTTTTTTATAAAAAATTTAAATTAGCTTTAAGTTAGTTATATATCTAAGCATACTATATGGAAATGTTTATTTTTTGCTTTGTTGTACTAACAACTGTGATGCTCTCATTACATATAAAAACTATTTTTATGCTATAAAATAGTTACCATTTTAATTTTGATAATGTAAATATATTAATACCATGTATTATATATTACCATGCAAATTTAATATCAGACTTCGAATGCTCAAAAAAATAAACAATCTATCAAGATTGTTTACTTAATTAGGCATTTGTATATTATGTAGTAATTAAGTCTCTTACATTGTTTGTTTATTATATCAAAAAAATACTTATTGCTAGTATGCCCTTATTAAAAAAAAAGCCCTATACTGAACTTAATTTCAAGTAAAATTTAAAAATTTTCGAATTATTATTATTTACGGAGTTTCCCAGACCCCATTCACTTGAAGATTCGTAATTTATTTATTTGTAATTTATTTTTTAATAGAATTTTTTTTTTCTAACTGCATTATTTATTTATCTAGACATTTTCATTTAGCAACATTATCAGAACACTTGCAAAATTCTTTAATATGCTCTGTTTTTTAAGTTCAATTTTTAGACCTTTCTCTTTGAGTAATAAGTTAACCTTTTTAATATAAACATTTTAGGGACCATTTAAACAATATTAGGGACCTGTTGAATAGAAAATGAGGTAAAGTATGAACTAAATATTGGACAATTAAACTTAAATTAGACTCGAAATTTCAAATTATGTATCTGGGATTATCAAATCATTTCTTTCTAACTGCTTTATTAAAATCATCATCAAAGTTCTACTTATTTATTTCCAGTAACTTCTAGGGTATCTCAAGGTTCTATTCTTCTTCCTGTTTTATTTCTCATCTACATTATTGATCTTCCCGACAACCCTACATTTATAGTAGCTCTTTTTGCTGATGAATCAAGTTTTAACAAAAATGTTCAAGTTTTGTCTCTTTTTGATTGCTTAGAACAGGAAGCCAATTTTGAACCTGATCGTACTTCTGTAACAGATTGGGGCTCACCTAATTTTGGCTTATAAGTTTTAACTCCGACAAAACTCAGTTATTTACTACAAACAACTACTACAATACTGCCAACATTCCTATATTAGTAAATGGCAACCCTCTTACATTGTCCTCTTTTTTACATCTTCTTGGGTTATCGTTTACGACTGACCTTTGATGTAAACAAAATATACAATCGATTGCTAAATTAGCATCCCTTTATCATTATCGTCGTTTTCTTACCCTAGATTCCATTCTCTACCTCTACAAACATCTTTTTTTCCCTGTATGGAATGTTGTTGTCATATTTGGGCTGGTTCTTCCTATGATGCCCTTTTTCTTCTAAACAAGCTCTATCTGCTAAGCTTGAGCCTCTTTCCCATTGTCGTAAAGTTGCATTTCTTTCTCTTTTCTACAAATTCTATCATGGTCGTTGCCCAAAAAAATTTATTATCTCTAGTTCCAATAGTAAAAACTCTTTCTCATTGACTTTTTATTATGCTATGTCTCATTCATTAGTTAAACATAAATATAAACAAAATTTAATAAATGTATTTAATAAAAATACATTTATTAAATATAATAAATGTAAATAAACAATGTTTATTGTGTCAATATACACTAAAACCCATTAAGATAAAATTGAGGAAGTTAAAATTATCAAAGAAGTTTTTATACAGGACTGCTTCAACCGTGTTAACCTTTAAGCATACCAAAACAAAAATAAATTCAGTAATTTTCAGTATTTATTGTCCTATTTAAATGAGAAATTAAAATATGAATTAAGATATTGCCATTAAAGTTAAATTTAGTAACTTAAACAATAAATTTTTGAACATTTTCCAAAAAAAAAATAAAAAAACTAACCCCTGTGTTTTTTTTTCCAAAAAAACGACCAAAAAAAACAAAAAAACAAGAACCAAAAAATCGCGTCACATCTCTATTGGTCTTAATTCTTTTTTTAATTTCTAGATTTACACTTACTGAGTGCATCTTCCCCTTATGAAAATATGTGCAAAATAATGTAAAACTATTTGCATTAATATTTTTTAATATATTTTACAAAAAGTCAAACAATTTAGTTAAAAAGTATCTTATTCCTTTTTGTTATGGGAGTTTAAAAATATATGGGTTTACTAGTGCCAACTCAGCACTTTTTGAGATAAATTATTTTTCTGATAAGACATTTGTTAAAAAACTAAAATTTTACTAAATTTTAATGTATAAAATGTAAAAAATATTTTGTGATATAATCTATGATGCTAACATTCACATTTCCATAAACTGCTGTCTAAGACTATTTCTACATACAATTACTACATTAGCACTGTTTATATAGTGACATTTTTTCTTATATAATGCCAAAAATGACTTTTACGTATCATTTATACCTATTACATATTTTTTTCCTGAACAAACTATGCTTTTAAATTAATTTTTTATTAACGAACTGGAAATTTATTTGGCTTTCAATAACAACTAAAATTTATTTTGGTAATATTAATATTTGAGCTATGTCCACTGTTTGGCCCACTGTGCATAAGAGTTCAAATTAATTGGTTTTAAAATGACGCATAGTTAAAACTTTTTGCTTTACTTTAAGATTTTCTCAGATGTAAGTAGTATAACAGAACTGCCAGTAGAAAATTTATAACAATAGAATTGTTCTTTTCTACCAAAAATACTTCTGTTTTATCTCAATTAAGCTTTATAGTATAAAGAGTATAAATTATACTCTTTTTTTGGTGCATTTTATTACGATAAAATTTTCTATAAGTATTTTCTATAAATATATTTTATAAATATTTATATTGAAAATACAAATAATAACAGAAAATAAATTAAAAGTCAATTTTTATTCTATATAGAAATTAAAAAATCATAATTTATCTCAAAATGAAACAAATAACTAAATACACTGATAAAGGTAGTTATTTGTTAAAAAATGCATTGTTAAGACATGACAGAACACAAATAAAAAACAATACCACATTCCGACCACCGTGATGGAAATATAGTATCATCATTTTTGTATTTCCTTCCATAACTTAACAGTTTATTTTTTAATAAGTAGTTATATTAATTGATGTATTAATATAACTATTTTATTGAAAATATATTGAATATAATAATTTATCAAAAGGAAGGAATAAAGTAATATAATTTTTTTTTTTTGATCTTCATTGCTCAATTAGTGTAAAAAACAATAAAACCAAATCTAATGTTGTGTTTACATGAAAATATTTATACATAATAAACCAACAAAAAAAGTAAAAAACTGGAATAATTAATTGGAGTGGGCCGAGTGGATCAATTGCATTTTATATATCAATATAAAATGCAATTAATATTGTATAAACTAACAACTGCCAATACAAATCCTAAAAAATTAACTCCCTTGATGTCTTTTAATCATGTATCCATCTGGTGAAAGGTCACCTTGGTCAAGGATGTGTTTGACAAATCTTGAAGTCCATTCAAAAAATTTACATTGTTCAGAACTTATCCAACTTCTTCTTTGACATATTTACTTGTTTTTTAAGCAAGAACTGATTCAGTTGATTTCCAACTTTTATATATGATGTCACTGTTAGACATGGTTATCCTGGAGAGATTTTAAAGGTAGGGGTGGGGGTGATGTATCTGTTTTTGCGGAGTAAGGCCTAGAAAATTATTTTTGCTGACTAAGATCAAAAAAAAAATGGTTCTTGTTAGCTAACATTTGCTGACTTGAAAACTTGTGAAAGACATATACATATATAAACCCAAAAGCAAGTACTAAAAAATTATAAGGAACATTTTTAACCCATTTGTAATTCTGTCTTGTGCCCTTAGTTAAAAGAATTTAAGATATAACTATGGTTATATATAAAACAAATAAAAAGTTTGAATTAGAGTGTTTAATTTTTAAATATTAAAAATAGGTATTAAAATACAATAATATTTGAGACATATATCATGTTTATATTTTTCAAAAAATTATTTATATTATTTTACAGGGGAAAATGGCAGACAAGCAATAAAAGAAGCAATTGATGATTATCACAGGTTTACATGTTTAAGGTTTACTCCTTGGAATGGAGAGAAAAACTACATATCTTTCTTTTATGGTCAAGGGTGAGTATATTTTTTGGCAAAAAAAAGTAATTGATACTTTTAGAAAAGTGTTTGTAATATTTTTGGTGGATGTTAAACTTTGTTTAAAATTGACTATAGAAAATGTTTAAATAATAAATTTATAAAGTTTACAATAAAAATATTTTTTTTATTTTAATGTCATCCAACCAACAGCATTTTACAAATCAACCTTTAAACTTGATAAAACTTAAAAATTATTTTTTAAACATTTTTTTTTGTTTTTGTCTTTACTTGATAGAAATTTTATTGGTTGTGCAATAATTATATTGTTATAATAGAATTTCTTTATGTTATAATCGTTTTAAAGGGTTTTCTTCTTTGTATTCTATGTGGCTTTCATAAAGGGTTTTCTACTTTGTAATCTATGTGGCTTTCATAAAGGGTTTTCTACTTTGTATTCTATATGGCTTTCATAATAGGTTTTCTTCTTTGCATTCTATGTGGCTTTTATAAAATAAATTATAGAATGATTATTTTTTCAGATGTAATTCGCCAGTTGGAATGTGGGACAAAAACAGAATTTCTCTTGGCGAAGGTTGTTTGACCAAAGGCACTGCTCTTCATGAAATCGGACACAGTTTAGGTAAGATTAATGTTACATATTTAGCGAAGACATTTCAACCATACATTTATTGTGAAAGTTTTGTTAACCTTGTTTTATTACATTTTAGTATTTTGTTTTTTTAGAATTTATTCTTATTATTTTAATCAATTATTTACATTTAACACTAAAACTAAGTACTAATTTAAAAAAAATGATAATACCGTTAGTTAATTTTTCATAATGTTAATGACATCAAATGAACTTTAATAAATATTGAATTTAATAACTAAGTTTTCAATTATCAAACAATATTCAAACAACTTTACAATATTGTTTTAAAAGGATTGGAACATGAGCAATGTCGTCCTGATCGTGACCGATATGTTAATATTCATTATGAAAATATTGAAGAAGGTAAGAATTTTTAAAATATTTTTTTATAAATTATTTGCTATATTTTCTATGTTTTCATAAAAATTAATATCATAACTTTATGAAATTTCTTGTTGTGATGCTTATAAAAGATATTAAAATAAATTTTTTTATTTTGGATAGCTGAATAAAATAGTAGTTATTTAAAAGTAATAAATATTTCCTTTATAAAATATAAATCATCAGATAATATGATTTATATAGTCAGAAAAAGTAGTTAAATTTTTTGGGTACCTCGAGAAATAATATATTTATTATAATATATTATAAATTTATTATAAATTCTTTTGTAAAAAATGTAGAGGAGAGTTGTTGTAAATTTATGTTTAAAATATAATTTATTAAACAGCAAAAAATATATGTTTTAAATTTTTTGTTAGATTGGGTGTTTGCTTTTAATATTTCAAAAAATGTTGACTCCCTTGGTACTGAATACGATCTTTATTCAATGATGCATTATAGGTAGGTAACAAATAAGGATGCATTATAGGTAGGTAACAAATAATGATGCATTATAGGTAGGTAACAAATAATGATGCATTATAGGTAGGTAAATAATTCACTTAGTTATTAATTGTTATATATACAATATTAGGTAATTCTTTATACTATGTATTTCATACAATTATATACAAATAGATAAGTAAGACTCACATAAATAACATAAAAAAGGGCTCTGTAAAAGGTTATTATGGTATGGATTATTGTTATTTTGTTTTGTTTAGCTCCAATTCTTTTACAAAAGTGTGGAATAAAAAGACAATAACAACAAAAGATCCATCAAAGCAAAAACTCCTCGATAATTTTGGCAGAATATTTGGTTTAAGTGGCACTGATGTGAAGCAAATTAACAAGATGTATTCTTGTGGAGAAAGTAAGCTCGATACTCTTTAAGCATTTTTATAGAAAAGAAATTTTTATATAGAAAATATTTGTAGAATAATTATTTACCTAAAGTTTTATGCTAAAACCATATAACAAATTTATTCAGAAATTCCTAGTACACTAAAACCAACAACATGCACAAAGGACAATGACTGGAGCTGTCAGTTTTGGACAAACCAAGGCTATTGCTTGTCAGGCGATCTTTTTCAGAGAGCAAGAATGCACGAAATGTGTTGCAAGTCTTGTAAAGGTAAGGAAGATATTTTTTTTTAATTATATTATTATAAAAATTTCCCACAAATTGATATAATTTTTTTAATGTCATTCTATAGAATGCAATTCTGGTATATTGCACTACAAACTATAAATACATTCAAATTTTGCATTTAATATTATTACTTTGATAAATTTTTCATTTAATATTAATACTTTGGTAGTGAAATATATTATAAAATTTAGTTTAATAGAATGATGAATGACTTGTACATTTTGTATAACAGTTTGTTTGTTTTAAAAAATTATTTAAAAAAATATTTATAAGTATAAAGATTATGCCAAAAATATAAAAACCTTGACATTAAATATACAGTAGAAAAAATCTGAAATTGATGTTTGTTTCATTGACTAATAAAACATGTTTTTAAACAGCATTAAATCATTGAAAAGTCTTCCAAGCTAACCAATCTCAGTAAACTCCTATAAATTCTGTTTTGAAGTAGTAGTTTGTAATAGCTGATTCTAAAATGCATTTTGTAATCAAAGTCTTCGTTAATCGAAGTTTATTGGGACACAAAATGTAAAGAAAAATTATTTATTTTAATAATTCTTAATTAATATTTTTTTGCCTGTAGTTCGACAATTCAGACGAGAAAACTCAGTTTACATAATTAAGCTGGAAAATATTTGATTCAAACAGTTTTAATGATGGGCGTACTAAAAATGATACATAAATTAATGATGGGCGTACTAAAAATGATTAAAAGCAATATCTAGGATCTTTATTATTATAATTCAAGTGTGAACACTAAAAAATGCGTCAAAACTTTTTTTTAGATCAGCTAAATACGTAACAGCTAAAAATACGCGATATTGCACTTTAGTTCTGGTATATAAAAAAATATATTAAGGCGAAAAAAATGTTTTCTTGTCTGACATCCCCAACTTTATAAATATATATATATAATAACAATATAAAAAATATATATAAATAAACAGGTTTTATGCACTTTATTATTTATAATATAATTTTTAATTTATTGTACGGGTATTTCTTGTTTTTTCTAAACTTGTGTGTTTGAAATTATATCTTATATACATTTTAACAATTTTTTTTAGACAAATGCGGAAAATGTGGATTGTAAAGGAAACAAGATTTTATAAGAAAACAACATTATAAGAAAGATATTTATAATAATATAAATAATATATACATATATAAAGTATTCTTTTTTTCCTTTTTCGCAAAATGATGTAGTTTTAATTAATTTTTAACTCTAACTTTTTTTTTCCCTCCATCCTTTTAAAAAAATAACAACTTAACAATTAAAAGTATGGTAAAATAAACTTTAGAGATCCCTAGATATAGTAAACCACTACAGACGAACACTATTTAATTTTTGAATAAAACATAGGGAGGAGTGGGGAGAAGATGAACATCTCAAAAATTCCAACTAGGAGAGGTTCCTAATTATTGTTATCTTATAGAAATAATGTGGTTTCTACCCCTCTATTTAGCAGACATTGGTTTGTTTTCCTGCATTTGGTAAAAACCTCATTTTTGAAATGTACCACAAAAAAATAATTTTTAAGAGGGTAAAATAAGATGAAAAATAAACTGATCTCCCATTTCTCTAACATCACTTTTGTGCAGTTGTTAAAACCTCTTGGTTATTTTGATGAAGATTGCGTGGTTTACCTGAATTTTTATAAGTGTGTGTGTGTGTGTGTGTGTGTGTGTGTGTGTGTGTGTGTGTATATATATATATATATATATATATATATATATATTATTTATTTTTTATTTTTTATCATTTTGCAAAAAAAACCAATTTATCAATATTTGAAAAGCAACTATGCCCTGAAAACAATTTTCTTTTAAGTTTTAAATGTTTGATAAGACATTTTAGCCGCACAAAACTACATTAAACTTTTTGTATTTAAAAAATTATAGGCCTAGTGACTCAGCGTTTTTAGAGTAATTGTTCAGTAGGGTGTCCCACTTTTAACCTAACCAAAAAAATTTCACATGCACCCTATTTCAATCATTCTTATTTAGTCCTAGGACCCACCAAAAAAAATTTTAGGTCTCCAAGTCAAGGGGATCCAGTACAAGGTATTTTTATATGTTAGGTTGCATGGAATTATTCGCGCCCCCTTCCTCTTGGTGCCCCTAATTTATGGATTGAATAGTAGAAAATTGTCTATTTTACATTTATTTTTGTTCTGGAAAAAAAAATCTTTCATTTAAGAGGTAATACTTGTACATATTAGTAATTTAAAGACAAATAAAGTCAAAAATCACATAAAAATTACATTAAAATTATTCATGTCTTTTCCAACCTCTTTTTGGTTTATTTGCACAACTTGCAATGCATCCTGTAGAAGACCTTCTTCATGACTTTCAGCACCAAAATCTTGCACAAGTTTTAAGTGGCGTTCAGCCCTGTCATTTATTACTTCTAGATTCTCGATCTGATGTTAAAAATGTTTGTAGGAATCATTTTCAAAGTTATCCTTTATCCATGTGTTGATTACTCCCGTATTTATACCTAGGTATGTGAAGAGCAGCCAGGACTCCTTTGTGATAAAGTCGGACAAAAATGAAATGGGAACCACATCAGTTGGAGGTTGAGGTTGTTCCCTTTCAAAATCATCAGGTTGCGGACAATTAAACCAAGCAGTTTCTGGGCTAGTCCAGCTCTTTCTTTCAGACCTAAATATCTATTTGCTATTGAAAGAATAACTAGCTGTGGGGTCAGGTACCAACTATAACGAACCAGGCTTGCATGGAGCAGCTTTCCCAGGGGATATACTTAGATATATATAGCTTATTGCTCATCATTTCATAAGCTAGCTTAAAAGCATCCAAATCGTGTGATGGAGCCTGGGCCACCATAGGAAACTTTAAAAACTATGCTCCATAAAATGTGACAACAAATTCAGTTGACTGTTCAAGCATACCTTTCTCACTTTTATACAGCATTAAATTAATCTTTGAAGTCAGCTGCATTGTAAGCAAGTATAGACAATCAGCCATGAACCTTGCTTGATGGTGAGCACCTGGTTGTTTGAACTGGAAACCAGGTACATGGCCACCAAGGTAAATCACTATAAGCTCACAAAGAACTTTATAATCTCCCCTTTGAAAACAATCTTGTTTTAGGGCTGTTATGTAGAAGTTCTTAGTATCTAATACCCTTCTATGAAATTCAGTACCTACCATATACTCCTCTCTCCCAAAATTCAAAATAAGCAACTGATTATCATTATTTGTCATTTCTCTTATTTCTGGCCAGACTTTTTGAAAATCTTTTTATATTGCACGTGATGGAGATTTTGTTGAACCTTGAATATAATCCATTGTATGGAAAATATGCCTTTTAGATATATGGTGCCTTTAAAGGTCAATTTTTAAAAGATATAAAATGTAATAACTTTGCAACAATTTCATGCAACAAACTTTTAAAATATCTCATCAAAATAATTTAATTATCTACAGAGCAGCCATAGCACAGGTCTTTTAAGCACATGATCCCTCAAGAACTTAATTGCCTCCTTGTATTTTCCAGTTGTAGAGGCCGTTGTATCGGCACTACATCCAATGATCTGCTCAGTGAGTTCATAATACTCTAATATGTTCTGAATAGCTATAGCTTGATCCTGCCCTTTAGATAATTTAATTTCTAGAACTTCTAGCAAAAAATCTAAGGGTTCATTGACCTGGGGGGATGATATACTGAGAGCAAGCCTTTTTACAGTTTCAGACATTTTTTAGTCAGTTCGATAGTATTTGACCAGTTTTGTATCAAAATGAATGATGACCTTTAAACCCCGAACTTTGTCCAGATTTTCTTCTCTTACTATTCTAGCTTCATTTTCAATCACGATCTTTTTGCTTCTATGTAGGCTCTTTGATACAGGAACCGTATTTAGATCACCACCACCAACTTTGAAAAGTGAGGACAGAAGTGAAGTTTCAGCTCGAACACTGACCTTGTACCTAGTCTAGAAAGAAATCCACTTGTCAAGAACATCATTTATTGAAAGCTCCATGTAAACTCTATCTTCATCACTTGAAGATAGTTCTATCTTAAAATCTTTCATCCTTTCTCTGTCCTCTATAGCTTTTTTCTTTGACATTTCACGTTTTCTTTTTTATTTTGTTCTTCTCTACGCATACTTTCTATCATATCTAACATTCGTTTTACCCCGCCTATGATTTTTTCTTGATAAGATTTATCTTTCCCAGTGTCAAACTTAATCATTTCTTCTTTGAATGCACTCTTCAGGAACTCAATATCTTCTGTCTTTGCTTGCTTGTCTCTATTTTCGTCATCTCATAAATTTGAAGATGTCTGTTTTATAAACAGGAAAAATACAGTTTGCTTCTTTTATAAAACTTTCTGTTTTTGTTTTATATTGCTCTTGTTTGATCTTTTTTATTTCCATAAGGGTTATTTACACTATACAGTTGCTTGTAGCGTTCATAAGATTTCTCTTATGATCTTCTTCTTCACTACTTGTTCTGTAACCCGAAATCTTGACTCAAATCCACCCTTGTCCCAAAGACTTAACAGTTCTCTCGAAATGCATACTCCAGTAAATTCTCCCCTGTTACTTTTCGTACACTCCCCTCCGATGCAAAGCATAGATCTTGACATTGTCTTTTGTGCACGGGATAGTTTTGCGTTATTTTTACTTGCTCTGAGCCAATATATTCTACGACAAACTTCTCCCTTTTTTTTGTGAGGTTAAAAGTGGGACACCCTAGTTTGCATTCTATCGATTATTCTGTTTTCTTCGAGAATTTGCATTCTATCGATTATTCTGTTTTCTTCAAGAGTTTGCATTCTATCGATTATTCTGTTTTCTTCAGAAGTTTGCATTCTATCGATTATTCTGGTTTCTTTGAGAACTTGCATTTTATCGATTATTCTGTTTTCTTCGAGAGTTTGCATTCTATCGATTATTCTGTTTTCTTCGAGAGTTTGCATTCTATCGGTTATTCTGTTTTCTTTGAGAGTTTGCATTCTTTCGATTATTCTAAACTTCTGTCAATATCTTTACGGGCTTTATCACTCTAAAATATTTTTTTATCACTTAAAACCGAAAAGCGAATTCTCTTTTTAACACTTTTTAAGTTTTCAAAACTAACTCCATTATTATGGCACACCAGCTGGCCATCATCTACAAAAGAGTGATAAAACCACAAAAATATTTTATGTGAAATGAAAGTTAAAAATGCAAGTTTAGAGCATCAAAAGCTTCTAGTAAGTTAAAGATAATTCAATAACACGTTTTAATAATTATTAAATACTTATGAAAGTTTTTTTTAAGAGCCTGAAAAGTATTATAATTTATAAAAATGCTTTAAAAATGTCTGTTGTTTCCCTTTTCTATTCAATACATTAATCACTTTCTAATCGGAAATTAATTTAGGAAACATAAATTACTATTTTTTAAGCATTCTAATTTTCTTTTGACACTTTTACATAAATAGTATTTATATTTAAAATGTATTTACTTCATTTAAGAAAAAAAAAGTTAAATAATATTTGTTTACAAAATTAATCCGCCATTTGTAAAAATGGCAAAAGCGCCTTCACTTTTCGGATCGAAGTTAGAAATCTAGTTTATATAATATATCATTGGTTAAGATCAAATAATATCATGATGTGATGACGTTGATTTAAGCATATAAAAAATGAAAAAAAAAAAGCGTTTGAACTTTGATGTTGCAATTAAACGAACGAAACGCCAAAAGGCTGAGGAAATACGTTCCAAATTTATTTTATCTGAGTTTGCATTCGCAACTCAAATGAGTTTTTACACTTTCGGATCATTTCATGTTAGAATACCAGCTAAAGATTTAACTTTTACCTTTTCAACAGCCTCAAAGTATAAAGAGAGTCTTAAAATATTTTACATTTCACAAACATCTGAAGTATGTGGCGAAACAGTTCTTTTTATAACAATGGAAGCAAAACTGTCGAAACATCAATATTGCATTATACAAAGTGCTGCAATTGCAAACTGTTTTTTAATTTTACTATCTTATGAAAAATTTAAAAAAGCCAAAAAAATGTGTTATCCTGAAGACATAATGGTGACTGAAACAAGTGCAGAAGTAAAACTACAATCTTTATTAGATCATACCAGTAAATATTTTTCTGATTTTAATGCGTGAATAGATTAATACTTTAATGCGTTTTTT